GCAGCACCTTCCGTTCGAAAACACCAAGGGCACGTTGGTCCTCCATGAGCATAGTCCAGGTCTCGTGGCCGTAGAGGACCACCGGTCTAATCAGCGTCTTGTAGACAGTCAACTTTGTGCGGCGGCGAATTTTATTCAAACAGAGCGTCCTCCGGAGTCCAAAGTAGGCACGATTCTCTACCATAATGCGTCTTTGAATTTCTCTGCTGGTATCATTTTCGACGGTCACCAGTGAGCCCAAATACACGAACTCATCGACCATCTCGATTTCGTCACCGTCAATCTGAACTCGGGGCTAACATTATCTTCCCTAGAAGTTCTTGTGCTACTCTCAAATACGGGAGTGGGTCCCTTACATTTGGAAAGAGAAAGAGACAAAGGAGAGAGAGATTTTATCCTAGGAGAGAGTAGTTGGACTGCACAGGTGCTACTTGCATATAGCACAATCGAGTAGTGCACTGTGTTATGACGGGAGGAGCACTTTTCAATCGGACATGGCTTAGAGATTTACAGGAATTACTGTAAACGTTAGGCTGGGTGCATGACACTCATAAAATATATGTCGCAGTGACTGTATGGTGTTCAACAGCGTGGGAAAATACCAATTTTGATGCTTGATTTCATGCAGATTTTTTTAAAGTTCGATGTAAATATAACACATTTAATTGTTGTGAAGAAGCTATTTTGGGTCAGTGTGGGAACAGAAAAAGTCCACTAAATTTTCAAGTATCAATCTTTAAACTGGGTTAGGCTATTTATCTGACATCCTGTCCCGCAGGAGCAGTTTGCTTCACACGCGCACGCTGTGTCCGAAGTGGCGGAAACATCAAATTTGAGTGCTAACAGTCCTAAATCGATTGGCTTTAAAATATTCTTTAGGGGAATAGGGCTCCGCACCACTTCGTCGTACTCCACTTCGGTTCATAATACTCTCGCCCCAAAATCGCTCATTTTACCTACATCATTTGTAATTAATCTGAAAGTTTTATTTTTATGGTATTAGCACATAGAACGATGAAGTAGCGCGCAGTCCTTATTTGAATTAATTAATTTTATCGTAATTTACTATATAAATATTTGGAAACGGCCCTAAAGAAAAAAACCTCCGAAAATTGCACCATTTTTTTTCCAATAGAATATTTAAGAACCAAAGGTTTTGTGAATTTAAGAGCCCAAACTAACTTTAAGTTATTAAAAATCCTAGGTCCAATGTTGATTAATCCACCACGGTACACTTAGCGAAGTAAACTATTAGTAAAATTCGGTATGATTTTCATTAAATTACCTTATGAAATATAACAATGCCAAAAACATAAAGCGAAGCAAACTGGAAACCAACCAAGAAGGCTGATATAACGGGGTCCGTGCCTTCACCACTGGTCTGTCGACGCTTGGAAAATGAATAATGCTAATGGGGTGTTTACACTTATGCTATTTTACTAGCGCTAATGAGCTAGCTGCTAGCAAAAAACTCACTAGCATAATGTAAACAGGGCATCAACGTCTACCAGCAGGAGCAACTGAAATTCGTGCTAGTTGGCGAGTACACTAGCGCTAGAAAATCCGCACAGATCGAGGGAGACGACTCTATCTACGCTGCAGGAAAGATTGTGTTGTGCTGTGGCTAGCTGCTCGCACGATGAGTAGATAGAAAGAAGATTGATGACGGTTCTGAAAATTTCCTGCAAAAAAATGATGCGCGATGCAAGTATATGCGAGAAATGCAAGAAGATTTTTCGAAGATTGATTCGCTAGTGTGAGATTTTTTGAGTATCTAAAATTGAGATTTAGATGTGTCGTCCCCCTCGGCACAGATGTAAGCACCCCATAAAGGCACATAGAAGCTACCTCGTCTGCTAGCTATCCTAATACAGCAATAGAAAAAGCACACTCTAGGAGAAGCAAAAGAGGGAGAGAAAGAGACTTAACACTCTAGCGGCAGCTCTCCAACACAAGAAGAATTGAATGTGCTGCACCACGTCTCTTTGGAAATGATAGCGCTGTTTCGCAACAGCGTGTGTTTTACTCGCAGAAAATTAGCACCCGATCCCTGGTTTTGAGTTATGACCAAAAACAAAAAAAAAACAAAACACCCCAGGTAACAATTTGATGCTTAACAAGTGTTGTTTAATCGATTTTAATTCAGCTTTAGTTTGAATAATTGTTGTCTATTTTAACCTTTGTTCAGTTTTTAAACATCTAAATCTGGAGATTTTAATCAGCCGAAAGCTTAACAGTTATATAAATATTAAGCTTTTTATGGCATTAAAGAACAGTCTTTTCCAACCCTTGTTCAGCCTAGTTTGATTAGAAAAAAATAAGCTAAAACTAAAATCTTATATATTTCAATGGGATTGCAAACAAGGTGCTGACTAATTAGATTTACATATTTATATTGCAGTGTATATAGTGTCTAAAAATTACCTTTGCATTTCGGGATTCGAACCGGCAGTCGCTGATTCACAGGCATTAATCATACCTACTGGACCACTTAAGCATATGTGTGGCAAAAGGTATGATCATTAACTTGAAACACGTCAAATTTAAGATGAATAACAGCAACCGGAAGAGTATAATACAGCAATGCAGAATTGTAAACAACTGGTGACAGTAAAACATTCCTCTCATTTTCAAGTGTAGTTAACACAATGTAGACACAAGTGCGCGAATTATTTCTATGGTCATGTGGAAGCTATTTTAGTGCCATAATTGAATTATATTTTTGGAATGCTGTCTGAAAATTCAGTAAAAAATAGCAGTCAAAACACAGAAATACAAATGTTAATACTTCCGACGTCGTCGCAGCCTACGTATACCTGGAGCTATTCCTAAAAAGCTCATCTACCTTGTCTTTGCTGCTGCCTCTGCTTGGATTTAGTTTGGTTGGCAATGATTTTACAAGAACTAAAATGCCGGAAATGCAACGAGTGGCACTGACTACATTTCACCAATTAGGCTATCAAATATTTGTAGTGCATTGCTGATTAGATCAGCTAACTTATTGAGGTTAAATTACGCGGATACAATAAGCTTCGTGCACTACTAATCAACTATATATTCAGCCTGCTGTTAATAAGCTTTGTACACCTTAAATCAACCAATAATCAGCTTCTGTTCTTACTGTTCAGCTTGAATTGTTACTTGGGGTGTGTGGGAGAAAATTTGCAAAAAAAATCCAAGGGCTCCGGTGGGATGCGAACCCACAATTACCATTCACTACACGGGTACATTGCCAATTATACAACGGTGGACCTATGGTTTATACGGATGTATTTGGCTAGTGGCGTTTGAGTTTCGAATATATTTCTATGTTTTTTTATTGAGAATGTTTGAAACAATTTACATTAGATTTGGTTGCAATTCGAGAACGCATGATCAAAAATAAAGGCGAAATACAATCGCTTTAAAACAGAATTGAGTGTACTGATGTCAAATATAGTGTATTCATGATACTGAAGAATATCACTATAAAGAATACTACACAACCATGCGTCTCCATTGAAACATAGTCACATCCCTTATAAACGGGTACCATACACAAACTATATCATAGATGGTGCGACCATACCGCATAGAGTTCGGATGAAATCCGGAATTAGTGGTTAGGTGCTTCTTATGGTTATTGTTTGTGTGGAATCTATACCTATTTTATATTCTCATAGGAGTATTGAACGAAAATCCAAAACTTAATAACTTCCAAAAAATATAAGTCAAAAATAATTTTAAAAAATACGTCGCTGATGTTTTTGTATGTGTGTCTTCAAACCATGAAAACCATAAAAATACAAATACAATCAATGTTTTTCAATACAAAATCCATTTATTTTTAGATCATTATATTTTTCTATAAAATATTTTTAATTATCTTTCATTTGATATTTTGATCTTTGAAATCGGCCCAAGTTATAAATTCAAAAAAAAACTTTTTTCGACCACCCTAAAATGGAAATGGTCACCCTAATGACAAAATTAAAAAAAATACTGGTCTCATATTTTGCAATAAGGAACAAAACTACAATTTTTTTATGAAATTCTGAGAACCACTATATCCTTTTGCTATGAAATGGCTGTAGAAAGGGTGTCGCACATAAAATTGCATCACGGAAAAAACTTCAATTTCAACCACATAGGACACCCTTGCGATCGAACCGGCAATTTCACTCCAGTACATTGTTTTATCTCTCATTTCGGATGGTAAACGATCTATATACATTAATTAGGAGTGCACTGATCCGCAGCAGCTGAGCGAGCAGTCCGCCGTTCGATTCACTCCCACCTAGCAGCCCTAAAGAGAGCACGCGCGCATGATCAACAGAGTCTGCCCACCAACCAACCAGACCAGAAGATCACAGCACGCTGCACCGATCGAACGAACGGAAAGGAAAAGTCTCGTCGATTCGGTCGAGCATTAACTGCATCAACGGAGAGTTTGATTCGAGTCGCGTGCACCAGAGGAAAACCAACTGCGAAGGTGATCGGATGCGTGTTTTCTTTTATCGTCGTTGTCGTCGTCGTCACCCGTCGGGATGAGGCGTCAGTTGTAAAGTAAAAGTCGCGATCAAGATCAAGTTTGGTGGCTTTTCCTTCGTGCTCCGAAACGATGCTGAAAGGGAAAACTTCGAGTTTGTGAAAATTCGTGTGTGACAGTGTGACTTGCAATCCGCGCTGGAGAGGGCGTTGAATTGTGAACAAACGAATGTTCGAGTTGGTAAATAAAAGTGCCTCGGAAGTGGTGTAACTGTAGCGGTAATGAGAGTGGTTCGGTGAAATACAAACAATTTTTTTTTAGTGGATTCTTCGCTGAACAATCGTTGCTCGAATTCGGTTCGGTGTGGTTGGAATCAAAACAACATTGCGCCGTGGGAAAAGAAACGACTTGAAATCAAATAAATAAATTACGGTGTGAAGTGTGATGGCCCACTGAAGCAGACGGAAAATTAATCCGTTCAATATTCGACGACGACGAGGAAGCTGGAAAAACCTCTGCGGGGCATAACGATATACAAACTGACCACAACTGGGCGGTTGGTCGACGGACGGTTCAACACAAGACAGCTGCCGGAATGGATCTATTTATACTTTTTGCAACGGCAGCGCTATTTACTTTCACTGGAAACGGTACGTACCCGAGCGGGATTTGTCTAAGTTATATGAATGTGTGGTGCAGGTTCTGGTCTGGATGCTGGCGAGCAAAAACGGCATGTGGCGCGTAATTGCGTAATATTGGGGGAAGCGAAGTGAAAGTTCGAAGCTAATTATCCAACGGAATGAGAGAACCAAAACACTGAAAAGCTACAAAAACATCCTGGTAATTACGGCTTGACGACAACCAGTCGGAAAATACAACCTTGTTATTTTTCGAATGGTAACGTCAAGAAATGTACACCAAACCGAGGAATGTAGGATTCTTTTACAGTTTTGCATAAAAGATAAAAATTAATGGTGTTCGGCTTGCATGATGCGTACAGTAAACAGGGATGTACTACAAAAGTTCGAATCAATGGACGCAGTAGTTTAAGGACAAGGTTCACGGAGTCCCGCCAATTCGCGTTATCCCTAGCACTAATCCTGGTCATCCAGAAGTCATACAGAACTGAAAATTAAACGCAGCAGCAAACATGTAGATTCATTTTGAACTTCATTTTCATTTTCATTTTCAAGCACAGAAGGGGGTCTCCAGTAAAACATTATTGTCCATACAGTACAACGGTAGAGGTAATGATTTGGCACCACAGAATAATAATCACAGGGATCAAGTAAATCCTGCTTAAGATGCCGAATAGAGAGGAAAGTAGAGGATAGTCAGAGTAACAGTAGTAATAGTAAAAGTTGGAAAGTAAACGTACAGAGGACCATGTTTTGCAGTACCTGTAATTCTTGTAAATTCAGTTACCTATCATATAAATTTGCATATCATCTAGTTATGATTATTGACAATAATACTTACATTTCGATGAAGATGGTGCCACATATTTTACCTTTTATGTGATACCAATCATCACAAAAGCCTCACCCCAGCAGGCCTGTGTTCAATCCCAGTCGGCGCCGCCGTGATGTTCTGAGGCATAACATTTCTGATCACGCCTTCCTTCTGAAGGTAAGTAAAGCCGTTGGTCCCCGGTTCATGAGTTGATGGGTCGATAGGTAGGGTCCAGGTGTGGGAGCTGCCTCCCTGGCGTCGGTAGCATTGGTGCTCAGCACAGAAAACAAATCAAGGAAAAAAAAATCACAGAAGCCAACCCTGAATCGTAGACCAGGTCCATCAACAATACACTCGTTCCGAGAAGGGGCTCTATGGTAACACCCACACTGTATAGTCATCTTCCTCCTCTTCGCTCGCCACCCGGAATAAATACTCGGTGCATCATAGATTTGATATGGTTAGTAATATCAAATAGTGTTACATGCAAACGAAAAATAGACACAACCAGGATTAGTTTTTCAAAGTAATAATTTCATTTGAATGCCCAACCAACGGTAGCATATATCAGTGACATTGTCTCACACTGAACCCACCCGGAGTGATTTGAGACTCGGGAACAATCGCACCCGCAAACAAACACGTCAATCGCCGACCTCTCGCGAACCAAATCTCGATCTCGAAAATTAATAACACTATCAGGTAGATGAATGATTCCTGTACCATTTGGTTTAGTTTGTTTACGAGATTGATCCATTATTCTAGAGAATTCGGCGATTGACTTGCCTGTTCACAAAAGCAACCACGCCCAAATCTCAAATCACTCCGGACTTAAAGTTGTTTACTTGGATACTTTTTTATGGTATCAGAGTGGAGCTGCGTGACAGCTTAGTTTTCAAAACCTGACAGATGTGAGTAAATTTTGCTTTTATCTTTCGACAATACTACAGAAGGACTAGTCTATGTTGGCAGTTTGAACACTGGTTCCAGTATATTGTTTGAAGAAAGTTCTGGAAAAAATGCTGTGTTGTGAGTGCGTATTAACGAAGCAAAAAATATATCCGCGTAGTAATCCGATTGAATTAGTATTGAATTGTGAATCCCATAAGCTCCGTGGACCACGTTAAATCTGACAGTCGCGAAAAGTTAAAAATGCACTTGACAAAATAGAATAAATATATTAACAAGTAAAAGGATACGTCCGGGACCATCCGTCAAAGGATACAGTACTCCGATTGAATCAATAAATCTGTTTAAGTATATAATATCTAAACTAAGTGAGTTCCGTAAACCGAGTAAGTTCCGAACGCCGCGCGAAACAGCATAAAAAACAAATAATAATAAAAATAGCTTATTAGCAGAGTGCCACCAAAATAAATGTGATAGCCTATATTGGCAAGTTGATTAATTTTGGTTTCCTCCCTAAATATGAAACTGACTTACAGTTCAAGTTTCATTAACAACCCTATTTTTGGTATTAAGGGAAAGTTCACCGCTTCGAAAAAAATAATTACGTTTTGATTTTTCTAAAAATATTGAAAAAAAGTATCAAAAATCTAAAAAAATCACATTTTTTCTAATTTAAAAAAAAAAATCACGTGCAAAAACATGTTTTATAAGTCATTATGGCATAAAGTTGGACTCAAAAAACCACAAAACATCAACTTTTCGGTTTTTCTGAGAGTCCAATTTTTTTTCATGATGGGATAGAAAAATTTTTTTTGCATGTAATTTTTGACAAAAATCTAAGAAAGAAACTGATTTTCTTGGATTTTTGATAATTTTTCCCAATATTTTTAGAAAAATAAAAACGTACCGAAAATATTTTTTTATTTTTGGGCCGGTGAGCTTCCCCTTAATTTGCGCCTTAGAAATAGACAACCAAACCCAGGTACCAATTTGATGCTTAACAAGTGTTGTTTAATCGATTTTTAATTCAGCCTTAGATTGAATAATTGCTGTACATAGACCACGTTAACCTTTGTTCAGCTTTTAAACATCTAAATCTGGTGATTTTAATCAGCCAAAAGCTGAACAGTAATGTACATTATAAGCTGTTTAAGGCATTACATAACAGTCTTTTCCAACCCTTGTTCAGCCTTCTAGTTTTATTTCAAAAATAATAATGGAAGACCGCTTCATATCTTATGCATTTATATGGAACTGCTTTAAATTGTTGCTGACTAATTGAATTTACATATTTATGTTGTTAATATAAGTTTAAAAATTACCTTTAGATTTTGGGATTCGAACCGGCAGTCGCTGAATCACAGGCGTCAACCATACCTACTGGACCATTTAAGCATATGTGTGGCAAAAGGTATGACCATTAACTTGAAGCACGTCAAATTTAAGTTGAATAACAGCAACCGGAAGAGTATTATACAGTAATGCAGAATTGTAAACAACAACTAATATTTTTGAAATGCGGTCTGAAACTTCAGTATAACAGACAAAACACAGGAATACAAATGTATACTTGTCGCAGCCCACATCTACCAGCTATTCCTAAAAATCTCCTTTTCGTTGTCTTTACTGCTGCCACTGCTTGTAATTAGAAAGGTAGGCAGTGAATTTAAAAGAACTAAAATGTCGGACATGCAACGAGGGACACAGACACTGACGACATTTAACAAATCAAGCTATCAAAATATGTGTAACGCATTGCTGATTTGTGGAGAATTGTGTTAAGCTTAAATAAGGGTTGTTCAATGTTTAGATCAGCTAACTTATTGAGGTTGGATTATGGGGGTACAATTCGCTTCATGCACTACTAATCAACAATATATTCAGCCTGATGTTAATCAGCTTTGTACACCTTAAATCAACCAATAATCAGCTTCTGTTCTCAATGTTCAGCTTGAATTGTTACCTGGGAAGTGCTCGAATCAGTAGGTAATGATGGTAATAAGGGGAGTAGCATGTCAGTTAATTGTAAACTGTAAAGTCTTAAATTGCCGAACTGTAAAGTCTTAAATTGAACATTTTAAAAGTTAATCTAGAAGCTAATCGAAACAAAGTCTAAGTGATTGTGAAAGCAATTTAAACAGTCTATCCTAGTTGAAGATGCTAATTTCATATAACAGACTAATGTGGTAATTTTTATACGATAGATGAGGAGATGAAAGTATAGAGTTGATAGTTCCGTTAGAGTACTACAGTGTGAAAATTGTATATAGAGAGTAGAAAGAGAGCAAGGACAACTTTTTAGGAAGGTACAAATCGGTTCGATCATCTCTCTTTACCAAAATTCCCGTCCGTGGTTGGTGCAAGGTAATCCAACGATCGACGGAAGCTGTAAGTACCTGAACCGTTTCTTTAGTACCCACACGAACACACCACATCCAGTAGGGAAGACAGTTTATATTAGTAGGGGAAGAAAGGGGAGAGGGGATTCAATACCAGTCGATTGGCTCACGTTTAGGGACCACATATTACAGTTAGGAGAAGGTAGGGTGAGGGAAAGGTTTTAATAGTTACAGGTTGGACAAACAGCTAGCAGGGCAAACCGATCTGAGTTCTGACAGACGACTCTCGTCGTCTGGCGCATAAGTCAGAATTTTGGAGGCCCTTCCAGGATCCTCCTTACAAATTTTCTACTACTAGATCCTCCTTACAAATATTCGTGTCCGTACCGACTAAATTCCAAACTACACAAGCCCAGAAAGCGTTTGGTAAGCTCTATCGAATTGCGCATTACTAATGGGGTGTTTACACTTATTCTGTTGCACTAGCACTAATGAGCCACCTGCTAGCAAAAAATTAGGAAGTTGTATCCAAGACTCGACCGTAGATTTGACGTAGGATTACGTGCTCGGTATCAATATTTGGCGACAATTTTTTTAGGGAAACGTGTGACATTTGTGTAATTTTCAATAGTGACCTATTAAAGATTTATAAAGTATTCATTTTAGCAGCTTTGTAGAAAAATTACAAATCGATTGGCTTGTTTTGAATTAAAATCCATCAGCTATTGACAGAGTTATAAGTGGTCAAAACCTGACCACTTTTCGTAACGCGCTCGATTCTTTTTAATTTCACCCCCAATATGTTGCCCAAAGACGTAATCCTACGTCAAAAGCTGACCAGCATAATGTAAACAGGGCAACAGCGTCCCGACAGCCACGAAAAGTTCAAAATGCACTTAATAGAATAGAAAAAAAAATAACTCAGTGAAATACTACCTACTAAAGGAGCC